TCACCACACTGAAGACACCTGGCATTCGTCGAACTATACTTAAGAAGCACTTAGTCTGTATAAATGCTCACTAAGTATACTAACAAGGACTTCAATACTGTGATTCATCATTTATATCTTGTTAGAAAAGTAATTTAGTTATAAATGTAAAACTCTTTTGTTCTTCATCTGGATTAAAGAAATGTCTTTTGCCGTAATTACTAAACCATATGAAACATAACTTCCGATTATAGCTCAATATTGATTTTCTTAAAACATCAATCTATATTAGCAAAAACATAAAGTGGTTCAATAACCCAAATAAAGGCCCATGATGGTTTATTACAGACTATCCTTTTCAACCCTTAGATACATTAATAAAAATTCATACAAGTCATAATTAATGTATCTGCCCTCAATTACATAGATGTTCTTGTTAATGTATTAATACATCAGTACATATCCAAAAGAAGTCAATATACATAGCATAATCAGTAGCATCACTATCTACATCAAAGTGGGTAAAAAAAATCCTCTTAGTCTTTTTCCTTGCTTTTCCTGCGATAGCACAATTAAGAAACTGATGGCTAAGCATTTTGCTTAGTGGTTCTATTATAAAATAAAACACAAATTTATCAAATCAAACTTTTATATGAAATAATGGAATCATAAGTCAAAACCGCACAATGTTAAAGGAAAATAAGCAAAAAAAAAACAATACCATTAATCATTAAATTCAAATTAGTCGTTTACGCTTTTATTAGAGATCATTCCGAGGGCCATCAAGTGTGTCTAAATGTGCAATCTTAAGAACCTGTATCTACAACCTCAATCTTGATATGATTTCAATAGAAGAGAGAGCAAGCTTACAACCTCAGTCTGTGATATGAGTTCAACAGAAGACGGAGCAATCTACAACCTCACAATGGAGGGAGATTTCATATCAATCATATATCTCTAGTGAGATATCCATGTTCAATCGATCGATATCAACTCAACAAATGAAGTGTATTCGGGGGTAAGTAACCATGTACTATATCAGCTGGTGAGACTTTCTAAAACATTCCATTATGTTAATAATATTAAAATCACTGTGGGCAAACTTTCAGTTTCGCAAACACTACTAAGATCAGTTCATTCACGGCCACCCTCATACTACAGTATCAATTGGCCAACATCCTCTCTTTTAAGGTATAAGAATCATAAACATTCATTTAAATATAGTCATTGAGGTTGTATTGCTTTTAAAACAAATTCTTTTTCTTCTTTAACCACTTTATTGGAATCCTAACATTTTTTCTTTTTTTTTATGAGTTATAATTCATAAAGCAAAAATCATTGAGAAATGTTTTACAAAATTCAATCTTCATTTGTTTAAACAAAAGTAGGAAAGGAATAGTACACTAACCTGAGCGAGACGGCTCCCCTAGCCGTTTTGGCCATCTAGCCAACCACCCGGCTCCTCAACTCCCTTACTTTCAGAAGCGTGTAAGCATGAGAGTAATACTCACAGTAATTCATACGTACCAATGACACACTGCATTTCTATAGGAATGCAAAATTAAAGCATATAGAATGTTGTGTCAGCTTTTCTTTCATTTTTCACTATGCTTGTCAAAGTGTCATATGACCTTAGTTTAAGCATTGAACACTTCATATTCCAACACTTAACCAATTCCTAGAAACATAATAATAACAATTGAAAAGAATAGAAGTCAATCGGCATGCTAAATCATTCGAATGTTTATGAAATGCAGAATTCTCAGCATGTGCGCCAGCTTGATTCCGTTGGACTATTTCTTATTTCCTCCATTTTCATTTTTGCCGCTGAAATTTTTACAGGCATGTTCCCAACATCTGGGTACTTCCCTGTAAAATTTCATAATTTTTAAGCTCTTGCATTGTCAAATGACATTACTTAGAGGAAGCTGAAATTTCAGTTTTTCTCTCAGTTTTTCTCATGCTGAGCAGCCTGCATGGATTTAATTATAACTCCATTTCCTTTGCTCCAATGACCTTTCCCTTTTACCATGATGTACCCAACATCTCCGCCTATATCCATATAAAATTTCATGAATTTTGAAGTTCATTTGCTTAGTCAAATAGGCCAATTACAGAAGCTGAATTGCAGGCAGCCCAACTGTAACAAGTCCGACAATGATATGTTTGCTTAAGCATTCTCACCTCACTTCCAGCACCAATTCAAGCAATTAAACTCTTCTATTACTCACATAACATCATAATATAAGATATATCAGAATTCCTAGGTCATGGCATATCAAGTACAAACTCAAAATCATCCATCTTGGTGATTTGGTGGAGATTATGCAAATTAGACTTTTGAATTCATGCAATAACTCCTTCAATCATCTTAAATCAGCCTTAAATAACCTCATTAACATAAATCACTTATCCTTACAACAACATAATCAGTAATGAACTAAGTTCAGTCATGCCTCACCTATCAAAGTTTCAATGGAAAATTCACAAAAATTAATCGCATAGAAAAGAAGAAGAGGGAAGTAGAAAAGTTAATTCTAACCTTTTCTTAAAGAAATTACTTGAAAATTCCTTTTGAATTTTCACCTCCCTTTTTGCTTGGTTTTTAATCAAAAAACTCTCCTCCTCTCTCTTGACCAAACTTGGGTCCTGGCAAAATGGGAGTGGAAAATGGCGTGGTTATCTCCACCTTCTTCATAATAATAATATACCTAAACGCATATCTTAAAATATTCACTTCACATGAATTACTTTAAATTGAAAATTGGCACTAATTAATCCTCCTTTGTTTTCCTTAATCCTTCTGGGCACTCATAATCTTTATAAATAACACTATTCACTATGTAGTCCCTACTAGGTAACTCACGCAAGTGTAAGTATATATATTCTAAAACCCTCACTTAATGAAACAGTCATACTCAAATTACCCCAGGTTTTTCGAAAGGTGTAATTTCGAAAGGAATAAATATCGTGCTAATTATTACAAGAACCTGAAGGTCATTTCCGCTTTAATTCATTTGTGATTTCCTTTTAACTCATTTTTGGCCTTTCCTTTAAATCCTTTCAAAATTGATGTTTGTACTCAGCATTCAGTTAGCCATTAATATCACTACATCTCAATATACTAGTGAATTTGCCCATTATTTCTAAGGTTCTAAATAACCAATTTTATTCGAGATATAACAACCGAAATATTGCATCGAAAAAGTTAGAATAATTAAGCAGGAACTACAAAAGTTGAGTAAGGATATTACAATTTTAAATGGACGCAAATGGCCTTCAGGGCTTCTTGAACTTGTTATCAAACTCTTGCAATCGCTAACTATAATCATACAATATGAATCATTTGGGCAAAGTGATTGTACATACCTCTAAAATTTAAGGATGGATCTAATCTAATAAGTGACTAATTCCGTTCTATGTATCTAGGGATGTATTTTTTCTTGGATAATGGCAGAATAGATACATGAATATCAATAATTGTGTTGCAATTGCCTGTGAGACATCCTCAATATATAGTATTTCCCATTATTCTAAGTTTTCCTTTCATTCGGATAACCGAATTCATCGAAAAAGTTAGAATAGCAGGAACTACAAAGTTGAGGATATTACAATTTTAAATGGACGCATGGCCTTCAGCTTCTTGAATTGTTATCAAACTTCTTGTGCTACTTTAATCAACAATAGAATCCATTTGGGCAAGTTGTACACTACCTCTAAAATAAGGATGGATCTATCTAATAGTCACTAATGTCTATGTATCTAGGGATGTATTTTTTGGATAATGGCGTGAAATTGAATATCATTTGTGTTCATTGCCTGTGAGTTGGGCCATAAACCCAAGGCCCCATACATATTCATTGTGACTATTAGATATGCTTTCCTCCTCTACATTATCTTCTAGCCCAAGTTAAAAGTAGCCCGACAATGTCCCAATTTCAATAACCCTTTACTTATTAGTTCAGTGTATTGACCCTTCATTGTTAGTTCAACCCAACAAGTGTGCATGCCTGTACTTTTAACATCTAATCTAATAACAAAGAATCAACCCCACTGCTCATGCCACGTGTGTAGCATGCAGGCTACAAACGTGTCACAGTAAAAAAAGTGAAAAATCTTCATTCACGTTATCCAACACAATAAATCATAGCATTTTTTCCCTCCTATAGTCAACCATTTCTAGCTCCACTTCAAGAAGGGGCATTCTGTAATTCAACACCACAAAATTCTTATTTGTTCTTGTTGTACCAGGCTCAACTTGAGCCAAACATTTTTATTCTTTTCTTTTAGAATTCAATAAAGGGTTTATTATTTTTTTTATTCTTATTTACTGAATCTCATTATAGTTTTCTCTTGATATTTTACAAAAAGGTATTCAGGTAATTTGAAATGAAAATTTTATAAAATTAAGTTAAACTAATCATCTTTTTGTGCCGTGCGGATAAGCTTAAAATTGATAATTTGAATAGAATGTGGAGTGTATTATAAAAATTGAATTTCATGGGATGATTGGTTAAACTTGAAGTGTTTCTCAGTGACATAATGAATTTATATATTCAGTCCAAGTTTAATTGGACACGGTAAATATTTCAAGGAAAAAATATGGTTGTTAATAGGTGGTGAGTATCTGGTTTCATTGAACCAGACCGTATAGTTTTTATGTCGATCGACAACGTATCGAAGGATTTGAAAAATTGATTCGGTAACAACTCAAACTACATAGATTTGAGTTTAATTAATTCGGTTATTTCGAACTAAATGACCTATTTTAGCATAAAAATCAATTTAGTTTACTATTTAAGTGACCAAATTGAAAATCAAAAACCATTCGATATTATTATTTGAACAGATATCTAATATCCTAATCGAATCAAACCGAAATGAGTCGGTTTGGTTATTGAGACCACACCAATACTGCTCACCGCTGGCTGTTAGATTAGACGCCAACTCTTTTTCAAAAAATTTTTGAAAGCGTCACAGCGGTCGGACACATTATAAAGCTTACCATCAATCCGAATTCTCCACGTGGCAATCCTTTGTCATCTTTTCCCTTTCGTGGCAACTCCTCATCCGTCAGTTAGAATCTACAATCGAAATCCCACCGTTAGTTAATGTCCCTGAGAGCCCCTCTCCCGAGACGTCGCCGTCTTTACCTTAATCTTCTTCCCGGATCCCGGCAAATCTCACCGCCTACCTTGCCCTGATAGCTGCTTCATCAAACTCTCTCTCTCTCTCTCTCTCTCTCTTTCTCTCAATTCTTCTCCCTCGACTCTTATGTATTAGAATTTATTTTTTTTTCTTTTGAAATTCTCTTTTGTTCTTTTTTAAATAAAATTACGTTTCGACCTTTTATTTTCTCGGTGTAAAGTCAAATCCGTGTTTGGAATCTGGGAATCATCGCGATGCGGAAGAATTAAATGTACTTAATTGAAGAAATGAGAATTCAAATGCAGGATTCTCTGATGCATGGATTTCAATTCTAGCGATGAGCGATCAAGTCACTTAAGTTGAAGCTGATCTCGCAGGAAGCAAAGACTCTTATCTGAGCTTCTATTTCTGCGAGATTGATTTGTTATTAATAGTATTTTATTATTGTTTGGCTTTTGAATTTCGATTTGGAAGGGAAAAATGTCGAAGGTGATATACGAAGGGTGGATGGTGAGGTACGGGAGGAGGAAGATCGGGCGATCCTTCATTCACATGAGGTATTTCGTGCTTGAATCCAGGCTTCTTGCTTATTACAAGAAGAAACCGCAAGATAATCAGGTATTTTGCTCCTGATTTCAGCATTAAAATTTTATAATTATTTTTTCTGTTTGGAAAAATCCAAAGTGGGAGCGAAGTACAATTTTTAACGGAATCTAAGCGGTGGGAATCCGCTTTTGTAGGAGCACAAGCATTTTGGTCTTAAGGAATCTATGTGTATAATACGAAGAAATTGATATTTGGGAATCTAACTCTTTATTGTCTCTTTTCATTTTTATGCAAATTACAACTTTTGAATTTTTTTTCATTTCTTTGAACTTCTTAAATACTGACAGGGGAAGTGTCTGTGCATGTTAATTAGGTTCCAATCAAGACCCTATTAATTGATGGCAATTGCAGAGTAGAGGATCGAGGTTTGAAGACTCACCATGGACATGTAAGTTCTCCTACTTTTTGCTTTTGTGTCTATTGCCTTGAACAAAAGGAAGTTTTAATAAGGAATTCAAGTAATTGTTAAGTATCCCAATGCTTATAATGGGTGGCAGTGGCAGTGATTAGAGTTAAACAATATCTAAAATAAGGATGGGAGTTAAAAATGGGGAGGGTCAAGCTCTTTTGGCTGCCTCTTGTAAGCTTGTCATGCTTTGCAAAAAAAAAAAAAAAAAAAAGTGGGTTTGGGGCTGCTCTCTTGTAAGGCTTGTTCATGACTTTGCAAAAAAAAAAGAAAAAAAAAAAAAAAAAAAAAAAAAAAAAAAAGGAAACAAAAAATCTCTTTTGACTGAACTAGTTTTGGGAGGTGGCAAAGAAAACAGTTATTACAATTCACTGTTCTCCTTCCTAGTAGAGTTGAACTAGTACCAAAACCAATGTAGAGAAATCTACCAAGTGATGTGGAAAATGAAGAATCAGTATAACCTATCTCCGTGTATTTATAGCTACAAGAGGGTTTGTATATTGCACATGTAAGGTAATTATCCTAATATTTTGAGACATGATTTTCCCCAGTCAAATTTTAAACTAGGGGATGATTAAATTCTATACAATGTGAGATAATCATCCTAAAAATTGGGACATTATTGCCCTAGTCAATTAATTGACTACCGTATGATTAAATTTATGTAAACATCCTAAAACTTAGAAGTAAGCAAAAAGGTGTGTCCCTCAATAACGCCGTATGCCTCTCTGGCATTAAGGCCCAAGTCACCCCTTGTGCCTTGTGCTGTCTGCTTGAGGCATGCCTCTTTAGTGGATGTGGATGACGGCATATCATTGATGTTCACAAAGTTGAACAATTCAAGAAATGGAATTTTTTTTTTTAAATGAAAATGCATGTTAGGAAGTTGACCATTGTTTGGGGCTGTTTGTTCAGTTAATGATGACATGGTCAATTTACCGTTGTCTATCTTGTGGCTTTGCCTCTCCCCCTCCTTCTGTACTCCTGTTTGATTTGTATTTCCATTGAGATCTAAACTCTTTTCCAATATTCTTGCAATAATATCATTTTGACAAGCCATAATAATTTCTCCCTGAAGACAAGGTGCCATAACTTGATAGTAAAATATAAGGTTAACTTGTGCGTTTTTTTTTTTTTTTTTTTTTTTTTTTTTTTTTTTTTTTTTTTTTTTTTTTTTTTTTTTTTTTTTTTTTTTTTTTTTTTTTTTTTTTTTTTTTTTTCAATTGCAGATGGTTTATATGTTTTGTTCTTGTTCGTATAACAAGAAAGAAAAGTATTTCATAGAATCACGGTGAGGTCAGCTCTTTGGGGCTTTTGTTTTGTTTGGCTTGAAGCTGAAGTTATGTGTTTCTTTCTCTCCTCTTTGTTTGTTTATTTTTTTTATTTTTTTCAACCTTCCCTCTACTTTTTTAGTTCAACAGATATTTTTATTTGAAGTTGCAAAAAAAAAAAAAAAAAAAAAAAAGATTTGTTTATTTGTTAGAGAATTCCAGTTGACGAGATGGTATACTAATATTACCTTTTCTTCTTTTGTGTATCCGAGCATCTTTCTTCCAGTTTAATGATGACATTTGCTGAAAGTTTTCTCTTGCTCTTGCTGTTGTGATGCTACTGGCTTTATACTGCATTTGTTGTATGAAGAACTGATGTTCTTGTCTTCCTTTATGGGATTGTTGTCTGTGCTTTGCCAGTTTTCAGTTGGCATCTGCTAATGTTTTTCTTAGGAGGAAAATAATCTTTGAGTTGTGATATTTCAGATGGCAGCATTCAACATTCAGGAAGCATTAATCTGGAAGGAAAAAATTGAGTTTGTAATTGATCAGGTATGTATTCTTAGAATGTTACTTAATGTGCCTCTCTTTCTGTTTTGTTGTTTTTTCCCCTTTTGATTTGTGTTTAAACTACTGGTGATTATGGTGGCTTGCATCATTAGAATTGAAGGGCTTGCTCTTCTTGGCCCCTTCACATCCTCTCCCTCACTTCATCCAACACACCCACCCCACCCACCCGCCCCACCCACCCACCACCACCACCACCATCATCTAACACTCCCCACAGAAGAGAGAGAGAGAGAGATTAAAATCGCCCACCCACCACCACCACCACCATCATCTAACACTCCCCCACAAGAAGAGAGAGAGAGAGAGATTAAAATGATTATTTATTGAATTTTCTATACCTATATCTTTTTCCTATTAAAGATCGAATGTTCATTGTGTTGTACAGCTGATGCCCATAGGACTTAATTCGTGCTAATATGTGCAGCATCAGGAGTCCCAAGTTGCAAATGGTAACAAATATATCTCATTTGAATATAAATCTGGGATGGATAATGGCAGAACTGCTTCTTCATCAGACCATGAAAGTCAGTGAGTGCCTGTTCTACATTATTTCTTCTGTTTTTTTGGCGTCATAGGTAGATGCTAGTGAACTGATTATTTATGCTTGCAATTTTTAATATGTAATGCATTTTCATCTTTCATGATGTTGCAAATTTCTCATAGTACTTTAGGCTAAACTTTTTGTACTTGCTATTTTGTTTCAATAATTGTTGATTGCCTTATCACTTATCTGTTACTTGAGTTTTATCAGGGCTAGCTTTGTCATTTAGTCCAATGTGGTGTAACTGGAAGTCTCATATTAACATCCGATATGTACTTCTTATTTCTAAATTATTTGCAGGTTTAGTGCACAGGAGGATGAAGATGATGCTAATTCAAATTTATTGCGGAGAACAACCATTGGAAATGGTTCTCACTGAAATTCTCTTATTGACTTAAAAAGTTAATTTGGTGCAAACTTCTCATTATCTTCTTAATTGGTAGGTCCTCCTGAATCAATATTTGACTGGACACGAGAATTTGATTCAGAATTGTCAAGTCAGAATGCCAACAATCAAGCATTTTCCAGAAAGCATTGGCGCCTCCTACAGTGCCAAAATGGTAATACACTTCCCCATAACTTATTTACATGGATGACATGCAAGAGTGCATATTAATAAGCTGATGGGGCAAAGTTATATTCTTTGATTAGGTTGTGGCATATGTAAATCATATTACTTCAACCTTTGTTTTATTTTGTCTGTATATGGCAGGACTCCGCATTTTTGAAGAGCTTCTTGAAGTTGATTACCTTGTATGGAAGTATTTACCTTTTTCCATCATTAGAATAATTTCGTTTGCTATGAATTACCTGTGATTGATCATACAATTATTTACTGCCTTGTTGCTGCAGCCAAGGAGCTGTAGCAGAGCAATGAAAGCTGTAGGTGTTGTTGAGGCTAGCTGTGAAGAAATATTTGAACTTGTAATGAGCATGGACGGAACACGGTTTGAGTAGGTGTTTTCCTTTTTTCAACTGAATATTTTAATTGCATTGTTTCTCTTTGAAAGTATTGTCTTATTGTTGCAAACAATGAGGGAACTCTATATGAGAATTAGTTCAATTATTTTGGCAGGTAACTGTTCATAGTACAGTAGCTGGGGTATTTTTCCTAATCATTGTAATTTTACAATTTTTTGGGAATAGGTTGGGCTATACCATCTTCACAATTTTTTACAATTTTACAAGTAGCTCGTAAAATGCATCTCAAAATATGCAAAGAAAATTGCTCCTGCTTTGCTTTTGAGGTGTTTGAAACTGAAATACATAACTTCATTAATTAGATGATATAGGACATCTTGTCAAAACTTGAACTCTTATGCTTTGTTTGAATGGGTGTAAAATATGGGTGGACGTAACATATGGGGTGAAAATTTCTTGGGATTATCAAAATCCCTTGTTTGGTTTGGGTGAAAATATCATTTCCACTCCATTTTCGGAGGAAAATAAATAGTGACATTTTACACTCTTATTTTACTTCTTCCCTCTTCCCAAACATAGCATTAGAGGTTTAGGGCTGGGGTTTACAGAAACCACGAATTAGGGTTAAAATTTAATTTGGCATATCTGATTTTCCTTGGAATAACTTAGAACAACAGATTATAATTTAAGCAAATGGGAACAAACTATTGGCATCACACTTATATAGTATATAGGACCTGCTGTTATCAAGCATCACACTTTCTAGGGTTAGAAATGCATCACAATGCAAAAATTAAAGCACAAAAAGCTGAAGTTTTATTGACTGAAATCTGAAAATAAAGCATTAAATAATCCCAGAACTTAGAGCTTTTCCAACAATAGTCCTAATCCTCTAAGGATATGGACTCTTGAAGAAAACTAAGAGGGATACTGGTATCGCCAGGCAATAAGGACTCAGACTAAAATTCTAAAACATAACCAAAAACTCCCAGACAGATCTGGACAGATTTTCCAGAAAAAAGATGACTTACAAATCATACTCTGAAAGGACTAGAGATCTACTATAATATCTAAAAGAAACCCTAATGAAATCTAGACCATGATTCTAAAGTTCTTGAAGCCTTGAATTTGAAGTTTCTTAATTTCCCTGTCCACATCATTTTCTCATGTTTGTGCAATCAGAATAAAGTTATATGGAGGTGAATATGTGAAAGTGACTCGAACTACTTTGAAAACCTTTAAGTTGAGTCATGAATAGATGGTAAGCCAATGGTTGGAACCTCTGTTATCACCTAGTCTTAGGAACTCCTACAGATAGTCTTATGATTTTCGTTTTTTATTGAACCTAGTTGTCTTTGTTGCTTTGTCATAATATATTTTGGCTTATTTGGTGCTGGTCCCATGCATCTGATATATTCCAACTAGGCATCCTTGTAATATTTTTATGGCCTAAAATTGCAAAAAGAAATAAAATAATAAAAATTTTGTTCTTTTTTCTATTCTTTAAAAACATTTAATTTTTCAGTTCTATGAACTTCCTTTTCTTTTTAGTGTCCCTAAGTTTATGCTTTATCACTTGTTCCAAAAGCTTCATTGTGTGACTTCTAAGTTTAATATGAACTACAATGATATTATACTTATGAGTCACACAATGAAGCTTTGGGAACAAGTGATAAAGCAGAGACTCAAGGACATTGCCAAGGTGTGTGGACCATTTTGGTTTTATGCGTAGTATATTTACAATAGAGGATATATTTTGTTGCTTAGAAAATTAATGGAAAGCATATGATAAAATGTTGAGAAAAGTACTTTGGTGAAGGATATGTATGAAGGAGCAGTCATAAGTGTGAGAATAGTGGGAGGGGTCCGAAGGAGTTTCCCATTACTGTAGGCTGCATGAGGGATCTACCTTAAGCCCATACATGCTTATCCTAGTTATGGATGTATTAATCAGTAATACACAAGGTGATGTCCATGGTGCTTGTCATTTGCAGATGATATTCTGTTATTTGATAGTAATGGTATAAACTACAAGTTGGAATCATAGATTTCTTGAGTAGGGTTTTAGGTTAAACAGAAGAAAGACAAAATACATGTACTTTGAGTCTAGCCCCAATAAGAAGAATGGGGTCATGTGAGATTGGACGGTATTGTGGTGCCTAAATGATTCAAATATCTAAGCTCCATGTTTCATAAAGGTGGCATGACTAACAAAGATGTAACGTGATGCGTCCCACATCGCCTGCGGAGTATATCCTGGGCTAGTGTATAAGGTTGGGTTCAGTCCTTCCCCTACGAGCTAGCTCTTGGGGCGAAGTTAGGGGTCCAGATCCTTATCATTTGGTATCAGAGCTCTGGCTTCGTAGGGTCAGTGTCTCATGGGGTTCGTCAAAACGCCGACTGAGGCAGTCGGGTCTTATGGGGGTGGGGATGATGTGTCCCACATCGCCTGCGGAGTATATCTTGGGCTAATGTATAAGGTTGGGTTCAGTCCTTCCCCTAAGAGCTAGCTTTTGGTGCGAAGTTAGGGGTCCAGATCCTTATCATAACGTATAGAATTGAAATAGGATGGATGATCAATAGTTCATGGTTCCTATTTGTTGGTTTTTGTGATTGGAAATTCACTTTTTATTTCACTAGTGCCTATCTTTGGTTTCATATACTCGATTAGACGATTTTAGAAGGTGTTTAATTAAATTCATGAAATTCTTCGATTCGTTCTTCTCAGAGAAAGGATCTACTGGTAGGATATCAAATAGCTAATTATAACAAATTTATTAAAGAAATATAAAAATATAATAGATAGTAAAATAATAGTAAAAAAAAAAAAAGAAAATACCAAATAATTAATCATACTAAATAAATAATTAAATATATATCTCACTGATGGCTCAGCCCCCCCTCCCCCTTCCTATATGATATAAAAATATCTAACAAAGTGAAAAGTAAGTTTTGTAAAATGACAGTGAGACTTGCAATTTTACATGGAAGTGAATATTGGGTCCTATTTCCAATATGTTCGCATGATGAATGCAACATAATTGCAAATGTTAAGATGGATATAGGATCACGCAAGATTGGAGGCTTAACATACAAAAATACCTTGAACTTGTTGCAATATCATTTTAAAATGACTTTTGTCCCCTTGAAATCCCAACTCACAAACTTAGGTATATTGTCACCCAAATTCAAATTTCACCTAAGGTTTGCAATAAAATAATATAAAGTGGGGCCCACCAGACCACCTTGGTTAGTTAGCCCAAGGACCTAAAAATTCAGGAAAATGCACCCTTTGGCCTAAGAAAATCAGAAGTCCTAATTTCTGCAGTAAATTAATCAAATCTATAATTTAGAAGAAGCTTTCTTTGCACCACAAGCAGCTATGAACTCTTGCATCTTCTTAAAATACTCCTTTGTCATTCCATTATCGTAATCGTGTGCCCTCTCATAAATACAATCAAACAAACACCAATTATGATCCGGCAATACCATTAGGATTTAGGACACCAGAAAGCAAATCAACACAACAATCACAAAAATAAATATCTACCTTCTCCAAAGAAAGAGCATGACTCAGGTTTAGCTTCAGTCCATCATTAACAACAGTTCTCTACCGCAACAACAAGTCTTGATTATTTTTTATAATAGCCTCTACAATTTCACGGTATTTCTTTAATAATTCACTCCCTTACACATAATTAACCAATCCCCACTTCTCAGTTTGCTATGCGCTTATTGGAATGACAATTAACTTTTGCACCGATCCATTTGCGCGATGGATTCCACATCCTTCGCATCTCCTTTAAATTTGTCCTCCATTGTAGTTAGGTCAACGCTTGACCAGATCAAGGAATTAAGCAGATCGATGGAGCTAGAGAAGAGAAAATAGGGTTCCTAATTCTTCTTAGCCTAACGGTGCGTTTTGCTGAATTTTAGGTTTTGGGTTAAGTTAATCTATGGTGGTTTGTTGGGTCCTAACTTTATATTATTTTATTGTGAACCTGAGGTGACGTGACATTTTTGAATTTGGGGTGACAATATATCTAAGTTTGTAAGTTGGGGTGCCAGGGGGACAAAGGTCATTTTAGAGTAATATTGCAACATGTTGCAAACTTATTCTTGTAGGTTAAGCCGAAGATTGGAATAACAGTTGACAAAAAGTGCAAGTAATACAAGTTGGGAATAAAACGAGCAGACTTCTGAGATGATTTGGCCCTGTGTTACATCGACCACCATGTGCGTCGGTTCGTAAGTCTGATAATGGACGGTGAAGGGTCTAAACAAGTCTACGGAGGAAGTTGTCTCACAAAATCTAGTACTTATTGACATTAGTGAGGATTTAATTATGAAGCAAAATGGAAGTAAGGGATTCTTATGACTGATCCTAACTAGTTTGGGGGTTAAGGTTTAGTTTATTTGATATTGGTTTATCAACTCCATCACTAGTTTCATTGCTGGTGAAATTATATCTTGAAATTTTTGATATTACTATCAAACATAAAAATTGATGGACTTGTTTCATCTCTAATTTCACCATGGTGAATTATCAGAGTGAAATTATTCTTATTGCTGCAGATGCACAAAAAATAATGAATAAAAGAAGAATTTCGATGCTATGAGAACCACATGGTCAAAGTTCTATATATTTGATGAGGTTAATTTGTCATGTCAGCAATTTGAAAGCCTGATTTCACTAAAGATGCAGCTGTCGATAGACTTGAAAAAATTACAAAGTTTCTTCAAGGAATTGAAAAATCAAAACGTTCTTGAGAAAATTGAAAAAGTGCTGAATTTCATGCTTTTTTTTTTTAAATTTTTTTTTCATTTTTAATTTTTCATTTTTTTTTTTGCAAATAGGAGCTATTTTTATTAGGTTGCTTATGCTACAATGTTGGGCATTATTACTAGAATGAGGTTTTCCCTCTTTAATCTCTTTTTTTTTTTTTTCTTTTTTGGTGGAAATGGTGAGGCCATTGGTCAAGTTCTACCAAACCCTTGACATTCTGGCATTTGCCCAATTTTTGATTGTCATTGATAATGCACATTATTCTTATGTCTTATGTAACTGAATTGTATATGGCACACTCAATATGGTGAGCATTGGATTGCAGCACCCTTGTGTGCCAACAATGTTGATACATGAGCGATGTGCTAAAATGGTCTTGAATTCCATGGCTAATCAATATTTACTGGAAGTACCAAACTGCATTGTTTAGAAAATTGAATTGCAAAGTGAACAGCTCTGTAATAAATACTTGAAAAATATCGCCAGTTTTTATCTAACATTTTCCTGTTCTTGTCCTTGATATGCATACTTCTGAAATTCATGTTACTATGTTTTATTGCTTTGTACAGGTGGGATTGCAGTTTCCAATATGGTAGTTTAGTTGAAGAGGTAGATGGACATACTGCCATACTCTATCATAGACTGCAGCTTGACTGGTTTCCAATGTAAGTGCCCCAAAGAACTCACTTTCCCCGCTATGGTTTTATCTGTTGACTGGAATTTTTATTAGTATCATTAGCTATGAAAGTTCGTTATATATGGCCATAAAATTTAAATTGATCTTATAACTTCTTACATCTTTTCCACTAGCCTGTGCTTTTTGTGTTAAATTTGTGTTAAAAATTAGTTATTCTCTTGCATTTGAATAGTTCTCTGCACAAAGATGTTCCCTCAGAAAAGAAAAGTCTTGATTGACAGGGCGTCCAAAATGCGTCTATATATATCCTTCGAGGATCGAAGATTTCCATAATGTACTCAAATTGATGACTAAATCAATGAACAATAAGATATTTATCGTATTAGAGGTATTTGGTAGGACGATCTTTGAAAATCAATTTGTTTTATGTTAAAGAAGATTGAGTATGGAGGCAATTTGTCCAAAAAGAGAGTTGATGAATAAGTTTCAAGAGAAAAGAAAAGACAACCATATTGGTATTTTTTGATCTAGAGAAGGTTATGACCAATCTCTATGATATTCTATGATGGGCTTTGGAATGAAAGGGAGTGTAGGATACATGGTGCAAAGGATAGGTCTGGAGGTGGAGTTGCTAATGTTTAGATAGTTGAGGTTGATACAGTAGATTTCCCTATAATAGTTGTATTACACTGAGAGCAGCCCCTCACATTCAAGACATATCTCTTAAAATTTAAAGTAGTGATAAATAAGAAATATTTAGTGGTTCTAGGTCCTTCTGTGGATAGTGGAATGAAGGAAATAAGTCCATACAGCTGGCCTCAACCAGTTTGGCATTGAGGCTTCGCTGAGTTGTTTTGATTCAATGAAAATGCAAGTCAAATTAAATTGAATGCTAATCAATTATTTCAGAGTGATTTACATTGGAATGTTAAGAACCTAAAATTGCTATTCCCATGCATTGTTTTAGGGATGATATTGTTTTGTCCATGCAACATCGTGCACTTTTTGTAAAATAATTTTTTATTCTAATTCTAGGAGAGAAAGTTCCCTTGTTCTTTACTAAAAGTCACAGGCTGGCTTTCAACAGAATCTTTCTAATAATTGTTACGATTACCCACTTGCTAATGGGTTGCAGGATTGTGTGGCCCCGTGACCTTTGCTATGTGCGTTATTGGAGGCGAAATGATGATGGCAGCTATGGTAAATTTATTTTACAAGTACTTTTTTGATTTTGTCCTTTCTATACATGCTTTAGATATCTATTCTTGTTATTGTGCAGTTGTGTTATTTCGTTCTAGGGAGCATGAGAACTGTGGTCCACAACCAGGTTATGTGCGGGCACATGTTGAGAGTATGTTTTAAATTGACTCCTATAATTTATGCTTTTAGTTATAGTATGAACATTATACACTAAGTTTCTTTCTGTACTCTGATTTCTCAAGGTGGAGGATATAACATTTCTCCCCTAAAACCTCGGAACGGAAGACCTAGAACACAGGTGCAGCATCTGATGCAGATTGATTTAAAAGGATGGGGTGTTGGTTATATTTCATCATTTCAGCAATATTGTCTGCTTCAGATGTTAAATAGTGTTGCTGGTAATTTCCTTGTTGTGTAAATTTGTTTACTAAAATCTGGCTTTGTTGGAAATTGACATCTCTATTATTTGCTAAAATCCATAAGACACTTTTTCCTTTCATGCTCATATGCTTTGCCTTTTTCCTTTGACTTAAGAAGGTTGGGACTTGGGGTTGGACAGGTTGGTGTTAAAGTTTCAGTTCTTTTACCCCACCTCCAGTCCAAAGGAGATCTAGTTAGTGTATGAGAAATTACTTTGATATTGACGAAGTTCTAAACCTCCTCATCGCTGCATACCAATATGAAGATATTGCTTGGCAGCTTCTGCATAAGTTTGGTTGTAGAACTTGAGTTGGTGGTGGTGTTCTGCCTGATGTCTTTTTCTGATTGTTCTATTGTGCTGTGGTTTTATATTGTTTAAATAATTGGTTTGGACACTGGACAGCAATGCTTTATGAAAAATTTGTTAGGAAATATTTCATAGTTAGCGCAGGCTGTGTATCCTGGAGTCTATATTCTAATTTAGTTTTTATTTATTTTCTGTGAGTGTCATTGTGATGGTTTCACAGGATTTTTTTTAGTTTTTATAGTAAATATTTATTTTCAATGTCGATTAAGTATTGTCGATGGTAGAAGGCTGATAAACAGAGTGGTGGAAGGGGTTGGGAATATGACCTTGAAGCACTCTTCCTTTTCTTTTTCTCCCTTAGAAAAATCACTTCTTTGTACTCTTCTAAACATTTGATCTATTAAATGCTTAGTTATGTCTGTGCAGTATGTTTCATGTTTATTTGATCTTTCTGCTTCTTGTCATGACAGGACTGCGTGAATGGTTTTCCCAAACAGATGAAAGAGGTGCTCCTCCTAGAATTCCAGTTATGGTTAACATGGCCTCTACTTCTCTTTCTTCTAAGAAAAGTCTAAGGCAGCAAGAATCTTCTGTTCATCCTGCTTCTCTTGATCAAATGAATATTGCAAGCAGAAACTCCACCATTATGGATGAATACTCTGAAGAGGATGAAGAATTTCAAATTGCTGAGGAAGAGCAAGAAGTATGGTTGACAGTTATTCCTATGTGCATCAGGATTATTGTTCTAACATAACTTTTCATCTTCATTGATTTTTTTTTTTTTTTTTTTTTAAATTGCTGAGGAAGAGCAAGAAGTATGGTTGACAGTTTTCCCTATGGCATTCGGATTATTGTTCTAACATAACTTTTCATCTTCATTTGATTTTTTTTTTTTTTTTTTTCCAAATGTTATAGGCTTTATAAAACTAAACAGAGTTTTTTTTTTTTTTTTTTTTTCCAAATGTTATAGGCTTATAAAACTAAACATGAGAATGATGTGAAGAGAACAGGTTGGGATGTCTCCCTATTTTGGATCTATTTCCTAGTCACACACTGCATGAGGCATGTAATCCCAATTGTTTTGCTTTACAGCCTTGGAAGAAGAACCGGTAGAACAAATCGACTTATCCTGTTTCTCAGGCAATTTACGCCGTGATGACCGTGATAATGCCCGTGACTGCTGGCGAATTTCCGATGGGAACAACTTCCGAGTTCGTAGCAAGCATTTTTGTTACGACAAAACAAAGGTTCTCTGATTGTCTTGTTCCTGTCTCGTTTTAAAATGTGTACATTTTAAATCTCTCAACCTGGTTTGGCTTACACTTATTTCATTCTATGCAATATGCACGTGAAGATCCCTGCTGGAAAGCACTTAATGGATCTTGTTGCTGTTGATTGGTTCAAGGATACAAAAAGAATGGACCATGTTGCCAGGCGTCAAGGTTGTGCTGTGCAAGTAAGGAACTTTCTATAGTTGCTTCTGCTTTCTGGAGGCTAGTTGTTTACTCTCAGGTTCTTGGTTATTTGTTTATTTCAATAATAGATTATTTTTATTTACACCACACACCCAAATTCCTCTTAATGCTCTTATCTTTAAGAAGTCCCTCGAATCAATGTCTAAAACATCCGCATGTAGAGTGTTTGTGTGTGCAAATTTGTTTTTATTTGGGTGGAAAGTACCATAACCTCTTGCTTTTGACATCCGTATCATTTATGTTTGAGGAATTGTAAATTTTAGGCCTAATTTTTAACAAAATCCACAACTTTAGCAATTAATTTCAGCCCAACTTTTCAACTGCATGAATTGTATCTTTAACCTTAAGTACAGTCATGTTATTGCTTTTCCCTTATGTTGATCTTGTTTTGGCAAGTATTGATCCGAAATAGATGTAATGTGGTGTGCATTCCTAAGATAAATGTCAGCAATTATAAGAATTGGGAGCACAGAATAAAACCAAATACTAGAAATGCTAATAAATGAATTAAATACGGGCGACATTATCTTTAATTAACATATTTTACTTTTCGAGAAATGCTAATGCTTGCTGTTTATTTTAGTCCCGTACAGCATGTCAACTATGATATAATATATGGAATTGGTTCTGCATTTCAGAAATGTTTTGAGGCTTTTTCTGTAAGTTTGGTAATTTGGAAACACATTTGTGCTCTAGTAAACTAATTTCTTTATTTTAAAAAAAAATCTAAAAAACTTTAATGGTGAAACCAAAACCTTGAGAGTTGAAACTAGATTGAAATTGAAATGGAAGTATCTACATCTACGAATTCAGGAACCAATTGAAAAAAAAAAAAGAGAAGGTAGAATGGAAGAAAGTGAGGGACTCTTTTCGCGACCTAATAGTAGCTCTAAGTTCGAGTACTCCTCCCCCAATACTCTAAAACAAGGAAAAAATAGGACTCTTCAGATGCCTATTGGCTTGAATGAGGAGAATGAAGAAAACGACAGCTTTCCTTCAGTGCTTATAATTTTCTTTAGTATATGAATACCTATATTTCTTTATATTTATAAAGAGACCTTTGTTTTTTTTTATATTTTACTCTTTTTCCCCATTGTTTCCTATATTTTTGAAAATGCCATTTCCTTGCATGTGTTTCTGCCATGTAAATGTGCCACACCATGCCCATTTAAGACTAGCATATGCAAAAATTAAAGTCTAAGACAAGAGATGGCTATAACTGACACCATTTCAAAATGAGGAACATAATTGGCATAATTGAGATGTGGAACTAAAATTGACACTGGAGTTTTTTGAATCTTTTTAGGTGATTTGGCCTAACTTCAATTAAGTTGCATTGCTTTGAAGTAGGTATTTAGAATTATTTGATGACAAGAATGGCCTATGTTTTGCGCATTATGATACTTGTTGAGTAACTCATTCCATAATCAAGACATTGGTATATGGTTGGTTCCTAACTCTTTTCAGGATCTTTAACTGTAGTTCCATTATCACAGTTTTTCAGAGTTCTGAGAATTTGATAAATGTTCCCTGTTTGTAAAATGATTTTGTTGATTCAATGCTTTGTTGTGAATGTCTATAAGCCTTGTTAATTAATGTTTGGTAGGTTGCATCCGAGAAAGGGCTTTTCTCAGTGGTTTTTAATCTGCAAGTAAGTATATTTCAGTTAAGAGGCTTCCAAGAATTTCATTTGTGCCAGATTGTTGGACTAAAATGATGATTTTTATGTTTGCAGGTACCTGGTTCAACACATTACAGTATGGTATTTTATTTTGTGACAAAAGAATTAATACCTGGGTCTCTCTTGCAACGGTTTGTTGATGGTGATGATGAATTCCGTAATAGCAGGCTTAAGCTTATTCCATCTGTTCCCAAGGTAAATGTTTTGGTCTACTTATGCTTGAGAAGTGCCTTTGTCAAGGTGTCAGGACATCTTGTAAATCAATTATAGCCATCAGATGTATGCATTCACAGATTGGTGTAGTAGCCTTCTATATAAATAGATAGCTTATGGACTCCATGCAGGAAACTTTGAAACTTATTTTGCTGTGATACCTTTTTAAGATTTGATTTAAGCTAGTACCAAAATTACTGTTGCCTCCTCCTTTCTGTAATCATTCAGGGCTCATGGATTGTCCGCCAGAGTGTTGGAAGCACTCCTTGTTTGTTGGGAAAGGCAGTTGATTGCAACTATATCCGTGGTCCCAAATACTTGGAAGTAAAGATTTTTCAGATTTCTTTTGTACTTCATATTACTTTTGAAGTTGTTCTTCGGTATGATTTAACATCAAATTGCAAAATCTGTAGGTTGACGTTGACATTGGTTCTTCAACTGTTGCTAATGGAGTTCTGGGGATTGTAATTGGTGTAATTACCACGCTGGTAGTTGACATGGCTTTCCTTGTACAGGTATGCATGCTTTAGTTCATGCGACCATACGTGTTTTAGTTTTTTATGGTCTTACTTTTTTATTGGGAGCAATCCAAACTCTCACTAGGAAGCTATTAATTTTTGTGTGAAAATAAAAAAGAAAAATAGATTGCTATGTCAAGATAATATCTTTAGGGTTGAAAACTATCGCTTGGCATTACATGTGTTAGGGTTGTCGAAAGCATTTCTCGTGTTTAACACGTTTAATGATTTTGAATCAACGAGGCTTTTCTTGTAATTTCATGTTTTATCCTCTCAGGCAAATACTACAGATGAATTGCCAGAACGGTTGATCGGTGCGGTCCGCGTTTCTCACATAGAGCTCAAATCGGCTATAGTCCCAAAACTAGAGCAAGATAATTTATGACCTCTACTGATTTTACACAAAAATCATTTGTTTAGTTATGAATGTATTTCATTCTCAAATTCGTTGCATTGTATCATTTAGTTGAATGGTTTTTATATTTAATTTTGCATAAAATTAGTGGAAGTAGAATCGTTATATTAGTTAATTCTTCTTTTCTGCATTAGTGGTCTTATTTCTGTACTGGAAAGTAAAATGGAATTTCAGAATTACTACTTTGGCATCCAGCCTTCACCGCGGAGCAATAATTTTGTAACTTTTACATAATACATATTATTTTTGTTATGAACTTGTTTGTTGTATGCAAATTATTCAAAAATTGAACCTCTGGATCTTTTTAATAGAAACTTGTAATTTGATTATTTTTTGGCTGGTCAATGTGCGTGAGAAAGACATTAGGGCTGTGCGGACTCCGGACACTTTGAACCCAAGTGAAGAATCGAATTGAGCCGGATCAAAGTCGAAAGGAGATGCGTTACAAGAATCCAAACTAGAACCAAAGCTGAACAAATTTTATGTTGGTTTAATGTTATTATTATTATTATTATTAAATTTTTTTTACTATTATCAATATTATTATTTTATTATTTAATTACTATTATAATCTTATTATTAATAAAATAATGAATGGGCCAGTTACCATTTTATTATTAATAAAATAAAATAATTACTATTATATTATTATTATTTTATTACTATTATATTACTATTAATAAAGAGTGATAATTAAAATAATTAACGAGTCAGTTAAATGTGTTAGATTTAAGTGTGATCAAATCCTAATTTGGATTAGGATTGTATATTCTATTAGGGTTATAATCAAATATTCTAATAGTTTTTTATATATAGGCTATGTGCTTTCTTTCTAGTCTACGCCGTCAAGATAATAAATTATTTTCCATCCATTGGAAGCTTGTAGACACAATAATGATGCACTTATCAATTCCACGAACAATTGTGTGTGGTTGTTTTAATTTCTTTTCATCTTTCACTACAAAAAAAATGCTTTTTAGCGACCAACTGTGACGAAGTCCATCGGTCCCACTATTTCTTATCGCTGAATTCATAGCGATCGAATATAGCGTCTGTCGCTAATTAGCGGCCGCCACATCAATTGTTTATATTACAAATGTGGTCGCTGAATCAATTTATCCCATTATATACAAAGTAGTCACTAATCGATCGCTAAAGTGTGCGGTAGCTATTCTGTTGCTATTTCTGTTGCTACTTTTGCTGCAAAGTGGTCGCTATAGTTGTCTCCAATTACTTTTTAAAATATTGTCAACCGTCGCTATTCGATTGCTCATCAGTCGCTATTTTATTTTTGAAATAAAAAAAATTTTAAATTTTTGACAACAAAAATTTTTCACCCGTAAGAATGACAATACTTGCGGATTCAAGTAATTCACACAAACAATCGCAGATTTTTATTTTGAAATAAAAAAAATTTTTAAATTTTTGACAAACAAAAATTTTCACCCGTAAGAATTGACAATACTTGCGGATTCAAGTAAATTCACACAAACAATACGCAGCAATTGAAAAATCTACTTAAAATTATGAAATAACATTGTTATTAATTGTGGGAAAGATAATTGTACCAATTTATTACTGTAATATATAACAAAATAAACATTAATAAAAAAGAAGGGTCTAAGGTGGGTCTGATTCTGTAAGGTCTATAATGGGATTCTAAGAAGCAGGCAGAGTGCGAAGAAGCAAGGGATCAAAGTGATCTGTACAGTGCAGAGGAGCCGCACGGCGCAGTAGGTCGGTCTTGAGGCATACCATATCCATCACTGCTGCTGCTACTGGAGCATACATATCCATCAGCTGCTGCTGCTACTGCAATATAAGTTGTGATATTTGCTGCTGTTGCGCTTGAAGCTAAGTCCATAAATCCTGAATCTCCTCGACACGTGCCTTCGGCTCAGCTGGTGTGGCTCTGTACTCGCTGAAACCCCATGTGTGCGGTTATAAAAAATGTCAGATTGCAAACCAATACCGTACACTTTTCTCTTCTTCTCGCCTCCTACAACCTCGAGATAAAGCTGTAACTCATTGATCGTAGGCTGCTCACCAGTCTGAGTCTAATATGCAGTAGCTCGCTCTTTCCCATTAGTATAGTTAACCTTAGAATAGAACACAGTAGTACAAGGATAATGCAAAAATATTCAAATTTAGATAGAAAAATAAAAAAAAATCCCAATTGTATTTATTCTAACAAGCTTGGCACGCCTATTAATAAATGTCACCCCATCATGGTCCTTCGTATATGTAAATGTAAGGACATCCATGAGGGTAGGCTGACGGTTGAACTTCTTGGCCTGCATTACATTTCGTAAATAAGAACATTTTAAATACATTTAATAATAAAGCTTAAAAAATGAAGTTAGATAAAATTCTCTAAGTGGATTTTCCTTACCAATTTCTTAGTAATCTCAGCTTCTGAAATGGAATCGTCGATGTGCTGAGACGGACCAGCTCCCTCATCACCCGTCTCACTAAGCCTATTACGAGACATAATCTCTCGCTTCATCACATACTCAGGATCTCACCACGCCTGCTGCCAACTAGCCCAAAACTCGTCATAAATACACCTTTGCTTCTTTCCTATAGTCTACATCTTGGACAGGAGGTCTGAGTAACGCTCCGCCGATTGTGTCTGTCACACCTTACCCCATTGTAAGACGTGACATGTCGCCCGTAATATGTTTATCAAGCACTTAGTGGCGCGGAACCCAATGAAAATAAATTTCATGAACTCAATGACAAGTTTTGGAAGAGATCCAAGATCAAACTAAACCCCTCTCTATGGCACCCAAAGCCCCCCTGATGCACCCGCAGCTGAATAAAAGCGTGAATGATAACACCAATAATAGAGAATAAACAAGATAAACTCCTCACAATTAGGGTAAGGATAAGTTACCTTGATTCTTAAAGGCGAATTAAGGGAAGGATGCATTATCTCTAAAAAACTTGTGGCAGATGAGATCACGCGTCTGTGAATGGCGTGAATGAAGCTTGAAGGAATGAACTCTCTTTATAATCAAATGGTGCTGTGTGTGTGTGGTGATAGTTTACAAATAACAAGCTATTTATACTAATCTAAGATGTCCAGATCCTGTAGAGGATTTAGAGTTTAGCTAAGGAGTAGCGGATTTTAGCAAATCTTAAACCAACTAAGGAGTGACTAACAAAATTCATAACACTAAGGATTTGGAGATCTTACATCCAAATCAACTTAAAGATGACTAAATCTAATCCAAAATAAGGCTAAATTATTCAAAGGGTTGGCCGGAAATAATAGAGGCCCACCATTAGCAATGCTAAAAACACAAATTAGCTAACTAGTTTAATTGGAGGCAGACAGTTGCACGGTCCAGGGGCTGTCAAGGAGCACGGGCATGCGCGCATGCGCACGGGCGTGCGCGCATGCATGAGTGTCCCTCGTGAGAGGCAGAGAAGTGCACGGCCTGGGGCATGCTGATTGGCACGGGTGTGCGCGCATGTATGTGTGTCCCTCGCGAGAGGCAGAAGAGTGCACGGCCTGGGGCGTGCTGACTGGCACAGGCGTGCGCGCATGTATGTGTGTCCCTTACGAGAGGCAGAGAAGTGCACGGCTTGGGGCGTGTTGATTGGCACGGGCGTGCTCCGAATCATGTGTTGTTCCTTGAAAGGCAGTAGTTTGCACGTTCTGGGGCGTGCCACCTTGCACGGGCGTGCTTACCAACTCAACATGTGCTTTCTTATCTATTGTGAGAAACTTAGGTGGTTTCTTCAACGTTCTTACATAGCACTATGGTTGAAAAGCAAGGTCATGGAGCTCTTCTGGAGTTGCCCTTGAATGTAGTAAGGGACATGGTTTGCTCCTTACTCTTTGCACGGCTCCTTGTAATTTGGTCCACTTGGTCCACTAGGAAGTGCTAATGGATTGCCATTGTTGTGGCCCTTGTTACCTTGAGCTTCATAGGTGTTTGGTGGTAGTGGATCCGTATCACTTAGTCTATATAAGAGCTCAATAAACATATTACAAGGGACTTAACTTTTCATATTCAAAATACATGTGTAATAATAATTTCAAATACTACTTGAAACATTTTAGATATCATAAGACCCACTATTATAAAAATCTCAAACTCAATAAATTTTCTTTTTATAAAAGATATAAACATTCTACTATTTAAAACATTTTAACTAATAGTCCATTATAAATTACACATTTACGTACTTAAATACATTGGTGAAACCATTACCCATAAGAATAGTCCATTATAAATTACACATTTACGTACTTAAATACATTGGTGAAACCATTACCCATAAGCCCATTAGAAAGAGGATTACATACTAGATTGTTCTTTTAGAGTCGTTATTAAGACGATAAATTAGTTTTAAAGGTAACTAAACCATTAAAGTGCTTTATAACGTATATCAATAATTGTAAACTCATATAACTTTCAGTCGCATTAGTCTGCTCAATATATATATATTAGTGACCAGTCTTTATTTTATACACCATACAAATTTCAATAAAATTATTCATAAGCAATGGCTACATCAGTAGCTCACCCTTCGAAAGCTATAGAAAGAACTTAGCATTCTGTTGAACTTACTCTCCTACTTCTCCTTTCTTTTTTCCTGCGATAGTATAGAGAACAACTATCGCTATGGATAAAGCTTAGTGGTACACTATATAAATTACATAATATAAATAATAATTCACCATTAGATATTTAAGAAACTCTATATAAATTACATAATATAAATAATAATTCACCATTAGATATTTAAGAAACTTAAGTGTGAAAAATAATTTTCAACATTACCTCTTTCAAGGTCAATGCTTATCATTTGCTTGCTGAAAACAAATCAGTTAGATAGAAATAACAAGTAGTCATATTAACTAAAGCATATCATTTGCTTACTAAAAATAATCTATTCAATGGAGATATTATAACATATCAATAAATCATTAATCAATAGTTTTGTCTCCACAGCTTATGCAGACTCAATTTGAAGGGCCATCAGTGTCTTATGAGCTCATCAAGACAAAGCTATCTCAACCTCAATCTGTGATATGAATATCAACAGAAGAGGGACAATCTCAACCCATATCACTCAACCTCATTTAAGAGGAACGAATATTCATTTGCAATAATCATTCATTGCATATCCATATCTAAATTTAAGAGGGAACAATATCATTTGCAATATCATTCATTGCATATCCATATCAATCACAATATCAACTTCAACAAATAAAGTGATATTGGCAGGGTAATAACC